TGTAATAAGTACACTTTCTTACTGTCATAAACAGTGCATAATTGCACTTATGGGGCTGTTACAGTTACCCAACTCCCTCCCCCGATTTAATTCTCCTCGTTTTCTGTTAAGACACTCAGAATTTTAGGATGAAGTTTTCAATTTCAATTTGTAATCCACAAGTTTTAAATATCAGGAATTTCTATTTCAAGTTTATTAAACAATATAGATTTTATACAAAATTTTAAAATATCCTGAGTTACTTTACAATTTATTGATATATTTTAATTTTGTTTTATTAGTTTTATAAAACTGTAATATCAATATAGCTATAGGTTAAGTACTAATTATAATTAAGAAGCAATAAAATTATTATCTTCAAAAACTAAGACGGTTAGGCGAGGTCGTGGTTTTCTATTCAGTTTTTCAGGTAAACTCAAATATTCACAATATATTTGACAGTACGATTTAATACTAAGTGAAAAAAGTACATTTCCTAACTGCTATCAATAGTACATAATTGCACTTATTTGTCTGCTTACATTTGCCACCCCATTTTTGGAGGACGGGATGAATTTGAGAGGTGAGAGGGATGAGCTACGAGGAAATATTACTGGAACTAAACATTACCACATTGGAAGACAAAAGAGGCAGGAGAAACATGATCACTACCTACAAAATTCCCAGAAGAATTGACAAGGTAGATAAAGATAAACGTTTAACACAGGTGGGACGCGAACAAGGGGACACAAATGGAAGCTTAGTACCCACATGAGCCATAGGGACGTTAGAAAGAATTTTTTCAGTGTCAGAGTAGTTAGTAAATGGAATGTATTAGGAAGTGATGTGGTGGAGGCTGACTCCATACACAGTTTTAAGTGTGATAGTGGCTATGATAGAGCCCAATAGGTTCAGGAACCTGTACACCAGTTGATTGACAATTGAGAGGCGGGACCAAAGAGCCGAAGCTCGCCTCCCGCAAGCACAACTCGGCGAGTAGAGGAGGTGAGAACATTAAAGTGTTGACGGGAGGTTGAGTGGAGGCAGAGCTCAGCACATCTTAACACTCCGTGGCTGAGTGGTTGAAGACCTTCCAGCAGGTGTTGTGGTAGTATGTGAGAGACGGAGGAGGAGGAGGAGGCGCCTTAACCTATAACTACACGCCGCTGCTACTGGCACCCACATGTCAACGTCTCCACGATGCCCCCCCCCCCCCGCCACCCTCAGGCATGTTGCATGGAGCCGCTCCAGACTATTGGATCACACCCCCACCCCCCACCCTCAGGCATGTTGCATGGAGCCGCTCCAGACTATTGGATCACCCCCCCCCCCGGCACCCACCAAGCTCACCCTTGGCTATCTGCCATGTTGAGGGTAACACTATCTTCCTCCCTCCACCCCCACACCCACGCCCCATCCACCCTCCCCCCCCCTCCAAGTGGGGGCGTGTCCCCCCACAGCGTCGCCGACACTCTTCCGCCAAAAGGGAGAATGAACGGGGTCAGACGGGCAAGAGCGGAGTGGAAGGGGTGAGGGAAGGGGTGGGGGAAGGGGTGAGGGAAGGGGTGAGGGAAGGGGAGAGGGAAGGGGTGGGGGAAGGGCTGAGGGAAGGGGTGAGGGAAGGGGAGAGGGAAGGGGAGAGGGAAGGGGAGAGGGAAGGGGAGAGGGAAGGGCTGAGGGAAGGGGAGAGGGAAGGGGAGAGGGAAGGGCTGAGGGAAGGGGTGAGGAAAAGGGTGAGGGAAGGGCTGAGGAAGGGCTGAGGGAAGGGTGTGAGGGAAGGGTGAGGGAAGGGGTGAGGGAAGGGGAGAGGAAAGGGCTGAGGGAAGGGCTGAGGGAAGGGGAGAGGGAAGGGGTGAGGGAAGGGGAGAGGGAAGGGGAGAGGGAAGGGGAGAGGGAAGGGGAGAGGGAAGGGGAGAGGGAGGAAGGGAGACAGGAGTAGCGAGGGTGGCCGCCGGGATCATAAAAGTCTTGAACGTAAAGGTGAAATGAGACGCCATGGTGGAGGAGAGCACGGGCTGGGAGAGCACGGGCTGGGAGAGCACGGGCTGGGAGAGCACGGGCTGGGAGAGCACGGGCTGGGAGAGCACGGGCTGGGAGAGCACGGGCTGGGAGAGCACGGGCCGGGAGAGCACGGGCCGGGAGAGCACGGGCCGGGAGAGCACGGGCCGGGAGAGCACGGGCCGGGAGAGCACGGGCCGGGAGAGCGCGGGCCGGGAGAGCGCGGGCCGGGAAGAGCGCGGGCCGGGATGAGCGCGGGCCGGGAGAGCGCGGGCCGGAAGATCCGAGCGCGGGCCGGGAGAGCGCGGGCTGGGAGAGCGCGGGCTGGGAGGAGCGCGGGCTGGAGAGCGCGGGCGGGGAGAGCGCGGGCTGGGAGAGCGCGGGCTGGGAGAGCGCGGGCTGGGAGAGCGCGGGCTGGGAGAGCGCGGGGCTGGGGAGAGCGCGGGCTGGGAGAGCGCGGGCTGGGAGAGCGGCGGGCTGGGAGAGCGCGGGCTGGGAGAGCGCGGGCTGGTGGAGAGCGCGGGCTGGGAGAGCGCGGGCTGGGAGAGCGCGG